CACGCAAGTTTATTCCTAAACATTTTCAACAATACAAAAATGCGTAAATTTTCATAACTGACGTCAATGGTTTCCCAAAAAGACTGCATAAGTTCTAAAAAATATGAGTAAGTCCTTGGTGAATACTTTTATTTTACAAAATTGCATAATTTGTCATAACTTATATAAGTGATTTTTTAAAAAATACATAACAGATCACAAATATGAGTAAGCCTTTGAGGAACACTTTTATTTGACAAAATTGCATAAGTTTTCACAAAATCACGTAAGTTGGGTCACAAAACTCAGGGTGGACAATAGAAAATGACGCGTAAATTTGTTCGTAAAAATTTTCGACAACACAAAAGTTGCATAAGTTTTCCAAAGTTATGTAAATGATTTCCGTAAAAATGCGTAAATCATGTCAAATACGAGTAAGTCTTTGGAAATCACTTTAATTTCACAAATTGTGTAGTTTTTTTTCTAAATTCGTATAAGTTGTGATAGGTCATTTCACGCACCAAAAATAAACACTAAACTATACCAAATTCCTTAGAATATAATAGCAGTAAGTCTAGGTATTGATCCACAGGGATAAAAGGGAAATTAAACTAATTTAATTGTTAAATTCCTAAATTAATTTTGATGAAAGATATGGTTGTTCATAACCTAATGATAATTAAATTAAATAAAGCGAATAAACTAGTAATTATAAGTAAAGATGAAGTTAATAATTTTGGAAAAAAAACCTAGGGTATTGAATTCACCACTAGTTACATAAATGTGGTTTCAATTTGAAAATCAATTATGTTACGGTTCGAATGAAATAATACTTCGCAACTATACGCTCAAAGGCATGGGGGTCACAGATTGGATTTGTGCAGTTTGCAATTCGGTTTTGACCCGCCCGTATCTATGCAGTTTGGAAAAAAGTCAACCTGCAACCTCTCGCAGTGCGGTTTGTACAAATAGGGTTCGCGGATGTGCGAGTAGTTGCGGGCAATTTACGGTTTGGACTTTTTTCTTTAACAGTCTATGAAGAATAGATTCAATTAATCAAACAATGTTCTGTAATAGATTCAATTTCAATTAACAGATTCAATTTCAATTAATCTAACAATCTAACAGATTTAATTTCAGATTAAATTAAAATTCAATAACAGATTCAATTAATCAAACAAGGATTAATATCATCATCAAACACAGATACCAATAACAGATTCAATTAATACACAAATATCAACAACAGATTCAAAGATGAACATCTATCATCATCAAACACTGCCTACTGTTGCCTAAAAGACAACAGTAGATCTTGCGAAGGTACATCTTGCGGGGAGAGAAACAGAGACAGAGAGACGCTTAGTTGAGAGTTGCCGGGGAGAAAGAGTCGATCTTGCGAAAGTCGATCGAGGGGAGAGAGAAGAGAGAATGAGAGAAGATCTTGTGAAGATAGATCTTGTGAAGGTGGATTAGTTGATCCCTGGATCAGGATCTTGCAATGGTGGATCGGTCGATCAGTGAGAGTTGCTGGAGAGATAGAGTGAAGATCGAACAGTGAGTGAGAGAATAATTGTTATATTCTAAACTGTAACCCCTCCCCCCCGGCGCAAGATGATAGGTGCGAGTCAAACCCGCAACTCGCCCCACTACCCGAATAATTGTTATATTCCAAACTGCACCTGACCCTATTATGTTTGTGAAACTGCCCACATGTGTGTGGGTCGATTCGGGTGAGGCGGTTTGTATGGGTCGGATAACCATTGTATAGGAAATATTCAACAATCACAGAAAGAAGAATACTTGAAGAAATAATGAAAAATTATATTTGAAAACTTCTTTGAGAACCATACAATTTTTCAAGCCATTGCATAAAAGAAAACCCTATTTACTTAGCTAGGGTTTCATCAAAACCCTAGAAATAGGAGCTTAGCTAGTCATGGAGGAGTGGGAAGAAATAGAAGAAGAAGAAGAAGAAGAAGAAGCCTTCATGAAATTATCCTTGAAGCTTGAGAATTCCCTCTCTTCAAACCCTAACCTCTCATTTTTCTTGAAATAATCTCGAACCCTAAAAACAGCCATATTTTCTTCTTTTTATTCCTAGCAGAATAGACTGAAATTTCTGCACACAGAACCCTAGATGGACCGCTCGAGCGCCCATGTGGTCTGCTCGAGCGGTGGTGGGCTACACGTGCGGTGAGGTGGCAGGCCGAGAATTTTCACTACTCGCACGGAGAATCTGCTTTTACGTTATTTTTTGCTTGAATTTGGTTGTTTCCTGCCAAATCTGTACAAGTTCACAAAACACATCATTTCCACCAAATAAACAAAATGCAAAGACTATAAATGTAACTTAAGCAGCCTCAATGTGGTACCATTCGACCTACATCAAGTTGTGTCACAAAATTCAGAGTAGTTGACACAAAATGATGCGTAAGTTTGTTCCTACAAATTTTCAACAACTTACTAATGATGCCAACTTGTTTTCACAACTGACGTAACTGATTTCCTTGGAGACAACTTTTATTGACAAAATTGCATAAGTTTTCACAACTGACAAAAGTGATTTTTCAAAAAATGCAAATAAGTTTTTTGACAACACTATTGCGAAACAAAATTGCGCAAGTTGTCATAAAGTCGCCTAAGTTGTGTCACAAAAGTTAGGGTGGTTAATAGAAAATATTATGTACGTTTTAATAATTGACGTAACTGAGTTCCGAAAAAAGGCGTAAGTAATTAGAAATACGAGTAAGTCATTTAAGAACACTTTTATTTCACAAAATTATGTAATTTGTCACAATTTACGTAAGTGATTTCACAGAAAATGCGTACGTGATCACAAATATGAGTAAATATTTGAAGAACACTTATATTTCACAAAATTGTGTACGTTCTCACAAATTCGGGTAAGTTGTGTCAAAAAACGCAGGGTGGATAGTAGTAAATGATGCATTAGTTTGTTCTTAAAAATTTTGAACAACACAAAAATGTGTAAGTTTCATAATTGACATAATTGATTTCCCAAAAAATGCATAATTGATCTCAAAATCATGATTCTAAAAATAATTTTAAAAAACAAAATAAAAAATATTTTTTTTTTGAAATTTTCTTTTAAAATAGAGTTTTGAAAAGAGTTTTGAGTTGTGTATTTGGTTATGAGTTTTAAAAATAAATTTTGAATTGAATTTTGAATAATTTTAAATTGTGTGTTTAATTATAAATTTTAAAAAGAATTTTTAATTTTTTTAAATTAAAATCATAATTTGAAAAGAGAACCACACAATAGCCATAAGAATGATTTTTTTACTGGTAAATTACACTTTGCCCTCTAAAGTTTCACCAATCTCTCACTTTAGTCTTTCAAGTTTGATTTTTTTTGCTTTGGCTCTTCATGTTTGCAATCCTTCCAACTTTACTTCTAGATTAACTTCTATCCAAAAAAACTAATAGAATTTGCCACATCATCAACACATCAGCTCCATGTGTAATGTAAAAAATTTACTAAAAATGCACAAAATGAAAAATAAAAAACAAAAAAATTGAAATTCATTATAGATGCATCTAGATTAGATGCACCTAAAAAAATAAAAACGAATTTAACTAAAAGAAGAAAAAAATTTACTAAAGACGAAAAACATGAAAATATACTGACTCAAACATCTGTATTGTCAATTCTGAAATAAAAAGTTTACTATCATTTTTTTTCGTCTTTAGTGAACTTTTTATTTTTATTTTTTTAGGTAATGTAATAATGTTTATGAATAAATTTGAGAAAAAAAATTCACTAAAAATTTAAAAAAAAAAACAATTTTTTTCGTTTTCTTTTATTTTTTTTTACATCTTTAGTGAATTTTTTATATCACACATGGAGTTGATGTGACAGATTTTGTTAGTTTTTTTTTTTTTTTATATAGAAATTAGTTTAGGAGTAAAGTGAGAATGATTACAAACATGAATGGTCAAAGTGGAAAGGATTGCAAACATTAAGGGTCAAAGTGAGAAAAATCCAACTTAAAGAGACAAAGTGGGAAAGATTGTAAATATGAAAGGATAAAATAAGAAAAATCAAACTTAATGAACCAAAATAGAAAATGAGTGAAACTTTAGGGGGTAAAGTGTAATTTATCCTTTTTTAGTTGTAGCAACGTAGATGACAGTTGATTTGTGCCTCTGTTTGGGAAGTAGGTTGACTTTTTGGCTTTTTGACTTTTTTAGCTATTTTAACCTGGGCTAAAAAGCTTACTTTAGGAAAGATTTTTTGATTTTTTGGCTTTTTAAACTTTTTTTATGAGAGAATAGTATAATGATTATGGGTTAGATGTGATGTTTTGTTTGTTATGACTAAAATAACTTATTTTATTTTATGTGGCTATTTTAATTCCAAAACCACTTGCCAAACACCAGTACTACTCACGTTGATAGTTTGTCCAAAAACAGTGACTATTACTGTTAGTGTGGCTCTGCAGAGGGATTAACTTTAGGAAAATGTTTGGACTCCACAAAAGGAGGATCCTCATAATTTCTGTGATCTCCATTGATGTATTGATTATTGATGTGTTTAAATTTTTTTGAAAGGTTGTGTCTGACAGTGACGTAAATGGTTCAAATCATTTTGAAGATTGTGGGGGTCTCTATCTTTACTATTAACTTTAATCGTGTAAGAGAGAAATACTGTGAGATTGAGATAAGAAAAAAAATATGTGGTGTAGAGAAGTGGGGTGGGGACGTGACACTCTCCTCGCTACAAAAAGAGTAAAGAAATGAATGTTTAAAATAATTTAAATAAATATATTTTTTAAATTTTTTTATAAAAAAATATATTAAAAACTAAAAAAATAAATAACCTAAATAAATATACATATGCCAAACAAACTCAAAGTTACTATTTAAAGAGCAGCTCTCCCCTTATTTATTATATAGTGTATAGATAAACTATAAATTACACCAAATAATATCAATTTTTTGCGCAGCTCACTTTCCGTAAAACTGCCACCGGAAACCAAAAACAACATTGGAAAAACATGCGTTACTGCGAGCCTGACTCCCAAAAATCCAAAGCACCATTGCCATGGATTGGAATGTATGTTGCAGCAGCATCTCTAATTTGCTTCTTAGCAATTGTTGCCGATGCTTTCTCTGCGTTCCGAAACAAAAAAATTTGGTTCCCGTGCAAATTCTTTACTATCAATGCTGCTACGCTGACATTATTAGGTGTATCAATGAAGATGCCACTGGATGTGAGTAGCTACATGAATGGAGGAAGTGATCAACTTGCAAAACTTAGTAGCACGGTCATGATGTGTATTGCAATAGGTAATTTTATGCCATCTTTAGGCCCCATGGATGATAAAGATATATTCACCAACATAATAGCCTTAGGTATTCTTATAATCACTGTGATTGTGAATGTCTGCATCCAATTAGTTACTTGTGCAATTCCCAATATACTACTAGTAAAACATGTTCTAGTTAATTTTTTCATGTTTCTGTTGTTGGTAATATCAACTTTCTCGGCGGTTACTGTTGCTACCACTAAAAAATATCTAGAATTGAAGTATGGTGAAATACACAAAGAATCATTAAGAGAACAAATTGGAAAGAAAATTACAGTTGAAAAACTGAAAGAAAATGTCAACAAGTACTGGATGATGGCAGAAACTGGGAGCCCTCAATTTGTGATGGCACGTTCTGTGACATGCTCCGCTTCAGGGGTGATATGTCTTATGACTGCTCTAATTTTAGCACGAGTTGTGTACCTAGTGTCGGATTTTGCTGCAACCTGGGAATCAGATTATGCGTTGTCAACATTTTTTATTTTTGTAATTCAGACTGCTACAGTGGGCGTGGGGATTATCGGTCCGGTATGTAGATGGTTCACTGCCATAAAATTAAAATGCTCCAAGAAAAGTACCAAAGGCTTCAAAACTGAGCTCAAACTAGAGAGTTATTGGATTAAGAGGTTGGTAGAATGGAAGAAGAGCTCCATAGTTCTTCAAATTCGTGGTCCGAAATTGAGAAAACTTGTCCAGCGCACCAAAAATCTAGTTTTGAACTTGTGTATAATGGTTCAAGTTATGATTGTGGTGACAAGCAAATTAACTCTTCTCATTCCCGTTGTTTTGGTTCGCCTGCTCATGTCATGTTACCGTTGTTGCTGCGAGTTGTTTAAGAAGCCTGTATGTAACTCAACATCCCTTATGAAGTCGGATATTGGCGATTATGTTTTGCTTCTTGAAGGCGAAGAGAAACTTACTCAAAGTACCTTGAAGAACATTAGTAAAGCAACAGATCATTTCATCGTCAAGGCCAACAAACAACAGCCTAGAAATTTAATTAAGCTTCTTCAACAAAAATCTACAGGCGGCTTCGAATGCATGTTAGACTTTCACAGCGACAAAGTTTCATTATTAGATTCTCAAGAACCTCCTAATTGCTGGGCTCTGCCATTGGTGACTCTAACTTCCATTGCCATTGCAATTTCCAAAATCAATGATAACTTCGTTGACAGGCTTGTGCGCAGCGTAAGCGAAGGCCTCTCGTACGTCAGACATGTTGACGAAACCATGGATACCGCAGGGAACCTCATAAATAGTAGAGATGCAGCTGATGAAGTGTGGTTAGGAGTCGAACTTGAGAGCAAGTGGCTTGATGAAGATCTCACCAAAATAGCTTCCAAAGGTTGCAGAGAGACTTTTCAAATACTCGCTGATTGTGCTCAGAAAATTGTTATAAAATACAAGGCAGATATCAACGGAAGGCCTGACGGGAACCGTACCAATTGGCCCATTAAGGTTATAGCAGCTAATTCCATGTACAGAATTTGCAAATCTCTATTGTTGAATGATGAAGGTAACAATCAGCAGATAAATCATGACAAATTGTTCATGAAATTATTTGACATAATGATTGCAGGTATGCTGCTTCTTTTTCTTTCCTTTTTTTTTTTTAATAAGGGTATTTGAGGCTTTTCCTTGTACTTTTATAGTCACCCGACCTATGCATACTTGGTAATTACTAGGCAAAAACTATGAGGGTGGCCTCAATAGAATTAGGTAGTTATATGGGATTTGAACTCGTGACCTACGCTTCATCAGACGCTTATCATGACTTAACTTGATACTTGTGTTATCAACTTACCTACCTGGTGTTATGTGATCGCAGGTATACTGGGTGCTTGCCTTACCAACTTACCTAGTGTTATAACTATGAAGTAATTGAACAGTACCATTGAAAAGATGGAGAAGAGTGTCCAGTTCGCAGCTCAACTTCTAGGCGAAACTGAAGAGATTCTGAAAATTTTTGAACAACATGAACTACTCTGTCTACATAATGTTGATCAATTTGCAAGTATTGATGAGTGGCGTGCGAAAATGGGGCAAGCAAATCCCTGTGATTCCCCCTCTTCATCCGATAACAATTTGGTTGCTTCTAGCTCAGGTGAGTTGGCTATGGACATTGAGTTGGAAGCCTGATTCATTCATCACTGGCTAGTTTTAATAAGCTTTGTAGTATTAAGTTTGTGTTGTCTTAATTTTGATATTATTCTGATTTCAAATGTGTAAGAATTTGATTTTGATATCATTTGAATTTCAAGTGCATAAAAACTATATTTAGATATTTGAATTTCTGGTTACATTACATTGTTGTAACTATAAATAAACACTGTTCTTGAATTTTATATGTTAAAATAACCATAACCAACTTCTTAACCAAATTATACTCAACATGAGAATTGTTTGTGGCTGCAAGTGTGCATTGGGCAAGACAGTCCTTTTAATTAATGATTGTTCTATTAGGAAATTAATTTCTTAGCTAAACTTTGTTGGTTGTTCCTTTTAATTTTTACTCTTTAGTATCCTTCCTCTGTCACCTGACACCTCTTAATCAATTAAAAAAAAAAAGAATAATGCTTGGGACCCCCTTTTGGGGGTCACCCCCTCACCCCCTTTGCCACGTGGCGGGTGGTGATTGGAGGAGCAGGAAAAAAATGAAAAAGAAAAAGAAAAGGTGACCAATGAGAGAGAGAGGGGGTCAAAGGGGGTGGGAGGAAAAGGGGGGATGAATCATTGTTGATAAAAAAAATCATGGTTAGAGTTAAAGCTTCGTAGCTCGACATTCTCACGGCTCGAGTGGCCCGAAATTCGAAAACAACGTCGTTTTATTTTTATTTTTTTTCTTTTCTGTTCTCTGAAACTGGTTTGAGAACAGGAGAGAGAAAGAGAGGAGGCAGAGAGAAGAAGAACAAAAGAGAGGAGGAACAGAGGAGGAAATTTCCAAGTGGGTTTGTTGCTTAAATGAAAATTCTTGCTTCATATATCTGAATCTGGGTTGAAGGTAAATAATTTGATGATTTGTAGCTTCAGTGTTCATGGGCATTCTTTGGAAAAGAGGATGACCCACCTTCCATGGAAGCTATTCTGTAAGTGTTATTAGCAGCAATTTTCTTGATTTCGAACTCGTAACTCGAAGCTTTGGTGAAAACTCTGGCTGTTTGATAAAGTGGAGTTGAATTTGAAGATGGGTTTGGATTGGTGAGAGAGATTGATTCACCTGAAGAATCTCGTTTTGATTTCTTTGGATTACCTTCTTAATGAATGGCAATGGATTCGATTCTTGTTGTGCCGCCATGAAAGCTAATGTCCACACAGTGTAAGGTAGAAGAAAAGATTATGGGTTTTGGGGAGAGAGAATAAGGGGGAGTTTCAAGAGCAAGGTTTTGAATACTCAGACAAGTGGAGTAGAGAAAAAGGTAGAGAGAGAGAGAGTGTGAGTGGTTTTGGTTTTGGTTGCTATTGATGAAAGATTTGGGGGTTTTGTTCTGCAGAGAAAGGAAAAGATTTTTGGAAAGATGAGAAGACCAGATGAGAAGGGAAGAGAAGAGATGAAAGAAGAAGACATGATTTTGGGCCACTCCTCGCGCCATAAGTTTCGAGCTATGTAACAAAGTTGTTAATTAAGACTGAATAAAAGTTATTTTTTAAAGCATTACTTTTTAGGATGACTTTCAGCTTAAAAGCCTACTGGTGATATTAATTCATTGGATTTTGCAAAGACTGCAGGTTTGGGTAGTTTAAAAAAAGTCAAAAAGTTACTCAAAAAGTTAAAAAGTTATCACTATTCACTAAAAGTCAACAATTACGGCTGCACAATTCCCAATTAAAAGTTTTTTTTCACAATTTTTTTACTTTTAAAATATATTTATGTTAGGTATAACTAAAAATTAAAAAAATTGTTTAAAATATTAAAAAAAATCATTAAAAACAAAAAAATATAAAAAATAACAAAAGTAGAATTTTCTGAAAACTATTTTCAAAAAAACGAAACCAAACAAACTGATAGTTTTTTTTTTAAATTTTTCTAAGTACACTCGTTGAAAATCCAAAGGCTCAAAATAAGTTCCCTCCCTTTGTTGGAAAGGAAATATTTTTTAATAAAAAATATTTTCTATAGAAAACTTTTTCTAAAAAATGTTTTTTGAAGAAAATATTTTTCTATATTTGGTGATGGTTGTGGTAGAATGAAGGTGGAGGTAGTGGCATGGTGGTGGGGTGGTGGAGGTACGAGTAGCGAAAATTTAGTTCGAAAAATGTTTTCCGCCTTCGAAAAGTGAAAAATATTTTCTGCCTTGTTTTCCATTGATCATGAAAAATATTTTCGATTGATTTTCGTTTTCTATTGTACCAAAAACCAAAAAGTACATAAAATATTTTTCAAAAAATATTTTCCGCCCAAACAACAAATCACTAGTGAAGGACCCATCATCATCACCTTGCAAGAGCTGAACGTAGTTACCGCCATCTATTTTAAACTATGGATCTTGCTTATCACCCATCTCTTCATTGGCACACTCGTTATTGTCCATGAACAAGCCTTTACCATAACAAACACCCTTTTTTGCAATTCTCTGTTTTGTACCATGCCTAACTATACTTAAAACAGTGTGTGGAACATGAAGAACTACAATTTGGAATGGAAACGAACAACGTTCTAAATAGAAAATGTTCTCCGCTGAGATAAACAGAGGTTCATTTCGAAATCCCGGAATGCTTTCATTTAAAAAAAAAAAGTCTGACCTATTGTTCAAAATGTGATTTTTTTGCCACTGCTCTAATTAAATACAATTTTGCCACTGCTCTAATTAGACGTGAGTAGCAGTAGTAGGAGAGTGTTTTTACTCTTTGAATCTCTCTCAATACGTTTTTTTTCTTGTACCTTTTAAATTTCATGTTTTAATGGAATTTTTTCTTTGCCGATCAAAAAAAAAAAAAAAATACAATTTTCCCAAACAATTAAATATTAGAATGATGGGTGAAAGAGTCATTTTTATTATGACATCATGCCAATTTTTAACACATCATTCTGGAGAGCAAAGCTTCAGACTACCTGTGGAAACTTCCACCTCCCTGCCCTGTTTTCCTTAAAGTCAATTTGAATTTGCTTTTCAACTGTGTAATGTAGCTCGAAACTTATGGCTCGAGGAGTGGCCCAAAATCATGTCTTCTTCTTTCGTCTCTTCTCTTCCCTTCTCATCTCCCCTTCTTATCTTTCCAAAAATCTTTTCCTCTCTCTGCAGAACAAAACCCCCAAATCTCTCATCAATAGCAACCAAAACCCAAGCCACTCACACTCTCTCTCTACCTTTCTCTCCACTCAACTTGTCTGAGTATCCAAAACCTTGCTCCTCAAACTCCCCCTCATTCTCTCTCTCCAAAACCCATAATCTTCTCTCCTACCTTGCACTGTGTGGACATTAGCTTTCATGGCGGCACAACAAGAATCGAATCCATTGCCATTCATTAAGAAGGTAATCCAAAGAAATCAAAACGAGATTCTTCAGGTGAATCAATCTCTCTCACCAATCCAAACCCATCTTCAAATTCAACTCCACTTTATCAAACAACCAGAGTTTTCACCAAAGCTTCGAGTTACGAGTTCGAAATCAAGAAAATTGTTGCTAATAACACTTACAGAATAGCTTCCATGGAAGGTGGGTCATCCTCTTTTCCAAAGAATGCCCATGAACACTGAAGCTACAAATTATCAAATTATTTACCTTCAACCCAGGTTCAAATATATGAAGTAAGAATTTTCACTGAAGCAACAAACCCAGTTGGAAATTTCCTCCTCTGTTCCCTCTCTCTTTTGTTCTTCTTCTCTCTGCCTCCTCTCTTTCTCTCTCCTGTTCTCAAACCAGTTTCAGAGAACAGAAAAGAAAAAACAACAATGATTCATCCCACTAAAAACATCACCACTAATAGCACTAATGCATTAAAAAAGTAAAAAAAAAAAATACAACTCCAAGACCAAAACATCACATCATTAATGGCGGGACCCACTGCCACCTAATTAGTGGGAGCACTAATTAGTGCTCCCAAGCATTTTTCAAGAAAAAAATAAAGGAAAAATGCTCCCGACCTCTAAATGTTCACCACTAAATTAGCACTAATGACGTGGCTGGCTTACATGGAAAACGGATACAAACTCGCCCATTTCTCCCTCTTTCTTATTATTTCAAATTTCAAATTCATTTTGAACACACAATACATTTGAAGACTCTCTCTATTCTTCCTTCTCTTCTCTGTTGTGCCTCTCCTTGGCGACCTCCTCGACAAGCGTAGCTCTACAACCCGATCGGACGAGTGCGGCTCTCTAACCCCGGCGACGACGCAGCTTCTACAACCCCGGCGGCCTGACGAGTGTAGCTTCTGACGACCAACGACGACCGAGTCTCTCTCCGTCTTCGCACCGGACTCGCTTCTCTCGACTCTCCGTATTTTCTCGACAGATCTGTATGCACAAGTCAGTGAAATAATTTCTCTCTCTCTCTCTCTCTCTATATATATATATATGCCTTAATTTGTTGAAGATAGATTGTGACTTTGACTTTGATTTCACTTTGATTTCATCTATATATATATATATATATGCCCTAATTTGTAAAACACAGCAAACCTTTAAGAACCTCATATATTAAATTACTGAGTTGAATTCATAGTAATGAGATTTTCATTTGTCTTCTAAATTCAACCATCCAAATATATCAGAAGAGAAATTAATAGATAATGATTTAAAGATTGCTGATAGTGTGTAACTTGAAATAAATTTGAATGTCTATTTTTCTGACTCAATTTTTTTGGATGTGTAACAGGAATTACGGACATTGAGATACACTTTCTCCAAATTAAGTTCACAGCTATTGGAGTTTACTTGGACT